ATAAATGCAACCATTTACTGATAGAAATGTCATTTTTTGCTAAAGGTAATAGGTCAATCAATTTACTTATGAATAAATGCAACCATTTACTGATAGAAATGTCATTTTTTGCTAAAGGTAATAGGTCAATCAATTTACTTATGAATAAATGCAACCATTTACTGATAGAAATGTCATTTTTTGCTAAAGGTAATAGGTCAATCAATTTACTTATGAATAAATGCAACCATTTACTGATAGAAATGTCATTTTTTGCTAAAGGTAATAGGTCAATCAATTTACTTATGAATAAATGCAACCATTTACTGATAGAAATGTCATTTTTTGCTAAAGGTAATAGGTCAATCAATTTACTTATGAATAAATGCAACCATTTACTGATAGAAATGTCATTTTTTGCTAAAGGTAATAGGTCAATCAATTTACTTATGAATAAATGCAACCATTTACTGATAGAAATGTCATTTTTTGCTAAAGGTAATAGGTCAATCAATTTACTTATGAATAAATGCAACCATTTACTGATAGAAATGTCATTTTTTGCTAAAGGTAATAGGTCAATCAATTTACTTATGAATAAATGCAACCATTTACTGATAGAAATGTCATTTTTTGCTAAAGGTAATAGGTCAATCAATTTACTTATGAATAAATGCAACCATTTACTGATAGAAATGTCATTTTTTGCTAAAGGTAATAGGTCAATCAATTTACTTATGAATAAATGCAACCATTTACTGATAGAAATGTCATTTTTTGCTAAAGGTAATAGGTCAATCAATTTACTTATGAATAAATGCAACCATTTACTGATAGAAATGTCATTTTTTGCTAAAGGTAATAGGTCAATCAATTTACTTATGAATAAATGCAACCATTTACTGATAGAAATGTCATTTTTTGCTAAAGGTAATAGGTCAATCAATTTACTTATGAATAAATGCAACCATTTACTGATAGAAATGTCATTTTTTGCTAAAGGTAATAGGTCAATCAATTTACTTATGAATAAATGCAACCATTTACTGATAGAAATGTCATTTTTTGCTAAAGGTAATAGGTCAATCAATTTACTTATGAATAAATGCAACCATTTACTGATAGAAATGTCATTTTTTGCTAAAGGTAATAGGTCAATCAATTTACTTATGAATAAATGCAACCATTTACTGATAGAAATGTCATTTTTTGCTAAAGGTAATAGGTCAATCAATTTACTTATGAATAAATGCAACCATTTACTGATAGAAATGTCATTTTTTGCTAAAGGTAATAGGTCAATCAATTTACTTATGAATAAATGCAACCATTTACTGATAGAAATGTCATTTTTTGCTAAAGGTTAATAGGTCAATCAATTTACTTATGAATAAATGCAACCATTTACTGATAGAAATGTCATTTTTTGCTAAAGGTAATAGGTCAATCAATTTACTTATGAATAAATGCAACCATTTACTGATAGAAATGTCATTTTTTGCTAAAGGTAATAGGTCAATCAATTTACTTATGAATAAATGCAACCATTTACTGATAGAAATGTCATTTTTTGCTAAAGGTAATAGGTCAATCAATTTACTTATGAATAAATGCAACCATTTACTGATAGAAATGTCATTTTTTGCTAAAGGTAATAGGTCAATCAATTTACTTATGAATAAATGCAACCATTTACTGATAGAAATGTCATTTTTTGCTAAAGGTAATAGGTCAATCAATTTACTTATGAATAAATGCAACCATTTACTGATAGAAATGTCATTTTTTGCTAAAGGTAATAGGTCAATCAATTTACTTATGAATAAATGCAACCATTTACTGATAGAAATGTCATTTTTTGCTAAAGGTAATAGGTCAATCAATTTACTTATGAATAAATGCAACCATTTACTGATAGAAATGTCATTTTTTGCTAAAGGTAATAGGTCAATCAATTTACTTATGAATAAATGCAACCATTTACTGATAGAAATGTCATTTTTTGCTAAAGGTAATAGGTCAATCAATTTACTTATGAATAAATGCAACCATTTACTGATAGAAATGTCATTTTTTGCTAAAGGTAATAGGTCAATCAATTTACTTATGAATAAATGCAACCATTTACTGATAGAAATGTCATTTTTTGCTAAAGGTAATAGGTCAATCAATTTACTTATGAATAAATGCAACCATTTACTGATAGAAATGTCATTTTTTGCTAAAGGTAATAGGTCAATCAATTTACTTATGAATAAATGCAACCATTTACTGATAGAAATGTCATTTTTTGCTAAAGGTAATAGGTCAATCAATTTACTTATGAATAAATGCAACCATTTACTGATAGAAATGTCATTTTTTGCTAAAGGTAATAGGTCAATCAATTTACTTATGAATAAATGCAACCATTTACTGATAGAAATGTCATTTTTTGCTAAAGGTAATAGGTCAATCAATTTACTTATGAATAAATGCAACCATTTACTGATAGAAATGTCATTTTTTGCTAAAGGTAATAGGTCAATCAATTTACTTATGAATAAATGCAACCATTTACTGATAGAAATGTCATTTTTTGCTAAAGGTAATAGGTCAATCAATTTACTTATGAATAAATGCAACCATTTACTGATAGAAATGTCATTTTTTGCTAAAGGTAATAGGTCAATCAATTTACTTATGAATAAATGCAACCATTTTACTGATAGAAATGTCATTTTTTGCTAAAGGTAATAGGTCAATCAATTTACTTATGAATAAATGCAACCATTTACTGATAGAAATGTCATTTTTTGCTAAAGGTAATAGGTCAATCAATTTACTTATGAATAAATGCAACCATTTACTGATAGAAATGTCATTTTTTGCTAAAGGTAATAGGTCAATCAATTTACTTATGAATAAATGCAACCATTTACTGATAGAAATGTCATTTTTTGCTAAAGGTAATACGTCAATCAATTTACTTATGAATAAATGCAACCATTTACTGATAGAAATGTCATTTTTTGCTAAAGGTAATAGGTCAATCAATTTACTTATGAATAAATGCAACCATTTACTGATAGAAATGTCATTTTTTGCTAAAGGTAATAGGTCAATCAATTTACTTATGAATAAATGCAACCATTTACTGATAGAAATGTCATTTTTTGCTAAAGGTAATAGGTCAATCAATTTACTTATGAATAAATGCAACCATTTACTGATAGAAATGTCATTTTTTGCTAAAGGTAATAGGTCAATCAATTTACTTATGAATAAATGCAACCATTTACTGATAGAAATGTCATTTTTTGCTAAAGGTAATAGGTCAATCAATTTACTTATGAATAAATGCAACCATTTACTGATAGAAATGTCATATTTTGCTAAAGGTAATAGGTCAATCAATTTACTTATGAATAAATGTAACCATTTACTGATAGAAATGTCATTTTTTGCTAAAGGTAATAGGTCAATCAATTTACTTATGAATAAATGCAACCATTTACTGATAGAAATGTCATTTTTTGCTAAAGGTAATAGGTCAATCAATTTACTTATGAATAAATGCAACCATTTACTGATAGAAATGTCATTTTTTGCTAAAGGTAATAGGTCAATCAATTTACTTATGAATAAATGCAACCATTTACTGATAGAAATGTCATTTTTTGCTAAAGGTAATAGGTCAATCAATTTACTTATGAATAAATGCAACCATTTACTGATAGAAATGTCATTTTTTGCTAAAGGTAATAGGTCAATCAATTTACTTATGAATAAATGCAACCATTTACTGATAGAAATGTCATTTTTTGCTAAAGGTAATAGGTCAATCAATTTACTTATGAATAAATGCAACCATTTACTGATAGAAATGTCATTTTTTGCTAAAGGTAATAGGTCAATCAATTTACTTATGAATAAATGCAACCATTTACTGATAGAAATGTCATTTTTTGCTAAAGGTAATAGGTCAATCAATTTACTTATGAATAAATGCAACCATTTACTGATAGAAATGTCATATTTTGCTAAAGGTAATAGGTCAATCAATTTACTTATGAATAAATGTAACCATTTACTGATAGAAATGTCATTTTTTGCTAAAGGTAATAGGTCAATCAATTTACTTATGAATAAATGCAACCATTTACTGATAGAAATGTCATTTTTTGCTAAAGGTAATAGGTCAATCAATTTACTTATGAATAAATGCAACCATTTACTGATAGAAATGTCATTTTTTGCTAAAGGTAATAGGTCAATCAATTTACTTATGAATAAATGCAACCATTTACTGATAGAAATGTCATTTTTTGCTAAAGGTAATAGGTCAATCAATTTACTTATGAATAAATGCAACCATTTACTGATAGAAATGTCATTTTTTGCTAAAGGTAATAGGTCAATCAATTTACTTATGAATGAATGCAACCATTTACTGATAGAAATGTCATTTTTTGTTGTAAAAACAGGATTGTTTTCTGTTTGTGTATACATGCATGTGAATGTCATTTGATGCTTTCATATTAAAGTGATAGCAGGAAAGTGAAAGTTTTTATTTTTAAGTGATTGGTGTATGTTCGTATGCATATGATTGTTGTGTGTTTGAAACCAGAGTTTCTTCCAGGCATCTCTATATAATTTATATAGAAAATATATACTTTTAACAGTGTCCGCCCCCCCCCCCCGAAGATTGCAAGTGCCCCCCCCCCCCCCCCGGAGAAAAAAGTCTGGAAGAAACACTCTTTGAAACGAGTCTGTTGTATGTTTGTAAGAAAGGAACTGTTGCATGAACGTTATTGTTACATATTTGTAAGAAAAGGATTGTTGAATATTTGTATAAAAGTGATAGTTGTAAATGTATGAAAGTGATTGTTGCATGTTTGTATGAAAGTGATTTTTGTACTTGTATGCAAGTGATAGTTGTATGTTTGTATGAAAGCGATTTTTACATATTTTGCATGAACAGAACAAACTAAAACGGCCTTAATAATTACGATGCCATATTTCTGCCCCCCCCCCCCTAGTCTGGCCGTATGTGGACGAGCAGTGTCCCAATACCACCCTAGCTGTGCTTGCCCCAGCGGCTGCCCCACCCCTCAAGAGCACGAGACTTGACCAGTATGACGACATGGAGGCTATGACGTGTCTGGACATGACCGAGTGTCCAGAAGGTTCTGTTTGTATTTTTGACAACTGTTGCTACGACTGACAGTTACACAGAGACACAAAATAACCAATTCCACAATTGTGCTAATTATTGTCCATTAAAATTTATTTTTGAACATTTTGTTTTGCGTGTGTTAATACATCATATACACATAAGAAGGTAAAGGGGATGGGGAGGATTATTACATAAATCAAAAAACAACATAAAGAATTACAGAGGTGTTTTGTTATAATGGAAGCAGTAAAACACAGTGGTATATTTTTACTACAGTGAAACGGTTTATTCGATAGATGAAGCTGTGTGCATCTGTTTACACGACGGTCAGCACCTTGTAGTGTGGTCAGCACATTAAAGCGTGGTCAGCACCTTGATGTGTGGTCAGCACCTTGTATTGTGGTCAGCACCTTGTATTGTGGTCAGCACCTTGTAGTGTGGTCAGGACCTTGATGTGTGGTCAGCACCTTGTAGTGTGGTCAGCACCTTGTAGTGTGGTCAGCACCTTCTAGTGTGGTCAGCACCTTGTAGTGTGGTCAGCACCTTGTAGTGTGGTCAGCACCTTGATGTGTGGTCAGCACCTTGTAGTGTGGTCAGCACCTTGATGTGTGCTCAGCACCTTGTAGTGTGGTCAGCACCTTGATGTGTGGTCAGCACCTTGATGTGTGGTCAGCGCCTTGTAGTGTGGTCAGCACCTTGATGTGTGGTCAGCACCTTGTAGTGTGGTCAGCACCTTGATGTGTGGTCAGCACCTTGAAGTGTGGTCAGCACCTTCTTGTGTGGTCAGCACCTTGATGTGTGGTCAGCACCTTGTATTGTGGTCAGCACCTTGTATTGTGGTCAGCACCTTGTATTGTGGTCAGCACCTTGTAGTGTGGTCAGCACCTTGATGTGTGGTCAGCACCTTGTAGTGTGGTCAGCACCTTCTAGTGTGGTCAGCACCGTGTAGTGTGTTCAGCACCTTGATGTGTGGTCAGCACCTTGTAGTGTGGTCAGCACCTTGATGTGTGGTCAGCACCTTGTAGTGTGGTCAGCACCTTGATGTGTGGTCAGCACCTTGTAGTGTGGTCAGCACCGTGTAGTGTGGTCAGCACCTTCTAGTGTGGTCAGCACCTTGATGTGTGGTCAGCACCTTGATGTGTGGTCAGCACCTTGTAGTGTGGTCAGCACCTTGTAGTGTGGTCAGCACCTTGTAGTGTGGTCAGCACCTTGTAGTGTGGTCAGCACCTTGATGTGTGGTCAGCACCTTGTAGTGTGGTCAGCACCTTGATGTGTGGTCAGCACCTTGTAGTGTGGTCAGCACCGTGTAGTGTGGTCAGCACCTTCTAGTGTGGTCAGCACCTTGATGTGTGGTCAGCACCTTGATGTGTGGTCAGCACCTTGTAGTGTGGTCAGCACCTTGTAGTGTGGTCAGCACCTTGTAGTGTGGTCAGCACCTTGTAGTGTGGTCAGCACCTTGTATTGTGGTCAGCACCTTGTATTGTGGTCAGCACCTTGTAGTGTGGTCAGCACCTTGTAGTGTGGTCAGCACCTTGTAGTGTGGTCAGCACCTTGATGTGTGGTCAGCACCTTGATGTGTGGTCAGCACCTTGATGTGTGCTCAGCACCTTGTAGTGTGGTCAGCACCTTGATGTGTGGTCAGCACCTTGTAGTGTGGTCAGCACCTTCTTGTGTGGTCAGCACCTTGATGTGTGGTCAGCACCTTGTATTGTGGTCAGCACCTTGTATTGTGGTCAGCACCTTGTAGTGTGGTCAGCACCTTGATGTGTGGTCAGCACCTTGTAGTGTGGTCAGCACCTTCTAGTGTGGTCAGCACCGTGTAGTGTGTTCAGCACCTTGATGTGTGGTCAGCACCTTGTAGTGTGGTCAGCACCTTGATGTGTGGTCAGCACCTTGTAGTGTGGTCAGCACCTTGATGTGTGGTCAGCACCTTGATGTGTGGTCAGCACCTTGTAGTGTGGTCAGCACCGTGTAGTGTGGTCAGCACCTTGTAGTGTGGTCAGCACCGTGTAGTGTGGTCAGCACCTTGTAGTGTGGTCAGCACCTTGTAGTGTGGTCAGCACCTTGATGTGTGGTCAGCACCTTGTAGTGTGGTCAGCACCGTGTAGTGTGTTCAGCACCTTGATGTGTGGTCAGCACCTTGATGTGTGGTCAGCACCTTGTAGTGTGGTCAGCACCTTGTAGTGTGGTCAGCACCTTGTAGTGTGGTCAGCACCGTGTAGTGTGTTCAGCACCTTGATGTGTGGTCAGCACCTTGTAGTGTGGTCAGCACCTTGTAGTGTGGTCAGCACCTTGTATTGTGGTCAGCACCTTGTAGTGTGGTCAGCACCTTGTAGTGTGGTCAGCACCTTGTAGTGTGGTCAGCACCTTGATGTGTGGTCAGCACCTTGATGTGTGGTCAGCACCTTGATGTGTGCTCAGCACCTTGTAGTGTGCTCAGCACCTTGTAGTGTGGTCAGCACCTTGATGTGTGGTCAGCACCTTGTAGTGTGGTCAGCACCTTCTTGTGTGGTCAGCACCTTGATGTGTGGTCAGCACCTTGATGTGTGGTCAGCACCTTGATGTGTGCTCAGCACCTTGTAGTGTGGTCAGCACCTTGATGTGTGGTCAGCACCTTGATGTGTGCTCAGCACCTTGTAGTGTGGTCAGCACCTTGATGTGTGGTCAGCACCTTGATGTGTGGTCAGCACCTTGATGTGTGGTCAGCACCTTGATGTGTGCTCAGCACCTTGTAGTGTGGTCAGCACCTTGATGTGTGGTCAGCACCTTGATGTGTGGTCAGCACCTTGAATATCACCCAAACTCAAGTCCACCAATCAGAGCCAGGTTGACCAATGGTCAGAGGTCTGAAGCCTAGGAACAGAACTAGATTATAAAACATTGTATGCCGCAGTTAAGTATGATATTTTGTTTCCACTGTAGTAGAACCCTACTGTTATAGATTGACCACTTGTTAGACAAACAAAGCAACGTGTATGTGCTCGTAGCTGTACGATTCAAAATAAATATTGCAGTTATCATAATACATGGTGAATCTAGTTTAACTAGTATTTCAACATCCTGTTTTGGTGTGCCATCAATTTATCTGTGTACAATTACGTGATGCTGGTGTTACGTGTTCTGTAACACTCCATCAGTGAAACTGTAACTGTAACGAAACTGTGTCAGGTTTAACGGTAAAACTCCAGCCCGGGTAGGTGAACATAAGACATCGTAGCTGCGATGTACTACTGTCTTATGCTACTTCTATTTCCTTACTTTCAAAATCTCTGATTGAACTAAACCCTTGCCCTTATACAGATGGCGTCGCGAGGGGGTACAGGAATGCGAACTGTACCGGGTGACAACATTAAGGAGATTGACACCAAGACAAAACATAGCTAAATATAAAGAGGACAAATGCTATTTCCAGTTTAATTAATCATAACTTTAAGCTAAATAGTCTTTTTAGGTACCAATTGACAAAACCCGGCAAGGTGTGTGTGTGTGTATGTGTATGTGTGTGTGTGTGTGTGTGCGTGTGTGTGCGTGGAAGAGAGGGGGGTGGGTCACATCAGTAGAATAGTTATAAATTAGATTATTCAATTTGGCTTCAGTGATTTCACATTATATCAATAATCTTACATTAGTTTCTGTACTGATTTGTTATGCATGATTAGTGATATGCTAATGGGCTATTTGTTCTATTCCTTTTCTAATTGATGATGAGCATTACTTCATATCTTGTCACAAAATACTATTTTAAAATAATTCTGTATTACTAACATATTTACATGAATATAAATAGCCTGTTCATACACACACTACAGATTACCGCCAGGGTCCTTAAATAAAGGGGAATAACTTTTGTGTGTGATGGGGCAGGTGTGTGTCTACAACAAGGTAGGTAAGCCACCATTGATAGTGTGGACGTCTCGAACTCCAACATGCAGTAACCCACCTTTACTAAAGCTCCAACATGCAGTAAACCACCTTTACTAAAGCTCCAACATGCAGTAACCCACCTTTACTAAAGCTCCAACATGCAGTAACCCACCTTTACTAAAGCTCCAACATGCAGTAACCCACCTTTACTAAAGCCCCACCATACAGTAACCCACCTTTACTAAAGCTCCAACATGCAGTAACCCACCTTTACTAAAGCTCCAACATGCAGTAACCCACCTTTACTAAAGCTCCAACATGCAGTAACCCACCTTTACTAAAGCTCCAACATACAGTAACCCACCTTTACTAAAGCTCCAACATGCAGTAACCCACCTTTACTAAAGCTCCAACATGCAGTAACCCACCTTTACTAAAGCTCCAACATGCAGTAACCCACCTTTACTAAAGCTCCAACATGCAGTAACCCACCTTTACTAAAGCTCCAACATGCAGTAACCCACCTTTACTAAAGCTCCAACATGCAGTAACCCACCTTTACTAAAGCTCCAACATGCAGTAACCCACCTTTACTAAAGCTCCAACATGCAGTAACCCACCTTTACTAAAGCTCCAACATGCAGTAACCCACCTTTACTAAAGCCCCAACATGCAGTAACCCACCTTTACTAAAGCTCCAACATGCAGTAACCCACCTTTACTAAAGCTCCAACATACAGTAACCCACCTTTACTAAAGCTCCAACATGCAGTAACCCACCTTTACTAAAGCTCCAACATGCAGTAACCCACCTTTACTAAAGCTCCAACATGCAGTAACCCACCTTTACTAAAGCTCCAACATGCAGTAACCCACCTTTACTAAAGCTCCAACATGCAGTAACCCACCTTTACTAAAGCTCCAACATGCAGTAACCCACCTTTACTAAAGCTCCAACATGCAGTAACCCACCTTTACTAAAGCTCCAACATGCAGTAACCCACCTTTACTAAAGCTCCAACATGCAGTAACCCACCTTTACTAAAGCCCCAACATGCAGTAACCCACCTTTACTAAAGCTCCAACATGCAGTAACCCACCTTTACTAAAGTCCCATTGAATAGACTGTCAGAACCGATACTGTATGGCATTCGTTGCCCTCTTGTATATCTCTATAAGTTTTTCAAGTCTGTGTGTGAGACGAGGCCTTTACTTTGGTCACTCGGTTATTGGCGAACAGGTACAAAAAAACCCAGCAAGTTTAAGCTATGACCCAGGAAGTGAATCTCAAATCTAATGTGTGCACTGACTGGTTTTTGTCGTTAGCCTTTGAACAAAATGGTGGTAAGTTTTTTTTATAGTTTAGTATATACATATATTTAATTTCAAAAAGAAAACTAGTTAATGCAGAAATAATTACTTAATAAAATTTATTAAAATTTTGGCTAAAAATATTCGATTGTTTACATTGTATCTTTATTAAAATAATAAGAGTTAAGTGAACCATTTGTTTAGTCCAAAAACACATTACCGTTGCTATGTTAGACTATTACTCAAGGAGACGGGAGAAAATAGTGTCTAAATATAGTGGACCACGTGACACAATAGACGGGTTGGAACCAAACTATCAATGGTCGACATCCGTTCAACGTTTACAATTATTGAATCCGATATTTTATGCGATACGTCCAGTGGGTAATTTATGTCGGAATTTTTAATGTCTGCTTACAGGACTTCATGAAAACGTCGTACATCCAATTTCAGGTCCTGTTGATTGTATCTTGCTCCTTCCAACTGGGTATGTTGATTGTATCATGCTCTATCCAACTGGGTATGTTGATTGTATCATATCCCATCATGTACAATTGATATAATTTAAATTAGTATGTTGATTAACCCTCACAAAACGAGATGGAATTTGATTTCTTCAAGGCACAAAATGAGGATTAAAAATTGACTTTCAATAATATGGTGTGGTTCAAAGAATCTGTTAGTTTTTCTTAAGCGAAAAACTGTTTTTTTTTGTTCTATGAAAGAGGAGAAAGGGTTGGTGCTATGGTATAACGTTTGGAGTATATTGCAGTATTAAGTAACATTAAGGTTGGTAAGGTGGGAAGCGTTCATTTACTGTGTTTTATCTTAAATGTACACGATCTTTTAGTTCCCATCGAAGTGAAGACGTTTGATGTGAACGGATCCAAGTCTATCAAAGCGAACTATGGCGACAGTGTTGTATTACATTGTGAGGTGACCGGAAGTGGCGGGACTTATGCTGTTCTAAGTGGGCCCGAGTTGAGCAAATTCAAGACCCACACACAGAACACGGCCGTTATTGATAAAACATTTGCCAATCTTACCTGTCAGGATGCTGGGAGATATTTCTGCTGGGGACAAAATGGAGGAGGCGAAACGGGTCCAAAGGATTTTGTTGACGTCAATATTACATGTGAGGTTTTTTAAATTTCCTTTTATTTTCAAACTTTTTATATTAATTAATACGAATAAACAAATTTAGTGTGAAATTAGAACATATCACTAGGACTGATGCAATCAAAACATTATGTAAGTAAAAACACAATTTAAATTTGTTTTCCTAATGCCAGAGGTTGATGTTTATCTCCAGGTCTTGTAGAACCGCCCCCAGTGTACCAAGGCAAACCTTACCAGCCCGAGAAAATGATCGAAGTTTCAAGTGAGAAAAACACGACCTTTCAGTTTGTTGTGTACGGCTATCCAGAACCAACGTCGTACGATTTGAGAATACAAACAAAAAGTAACTCGTATAGCGATGTTACCAGCAGCCACTACAATGTACAATACATCCATCAAGAGCCTCCGTTTGGTCTGGTCACGCTGACCATCTATGATGAAAACACGAAGGAGACCATCACGTACGTTCTGGGCATCAACAGTGAAAAGGGGAGGGTCGAGGTCACTGTGGAGGTCGTCAAGGTCACCCAAACACCAGCTCCTGGTTAGTGTGAAGTTAAAGGAGTAGTTAGAGCAACATCAATAGTACCATTTAAATATTTAATCCAATGAAGTTAAAGGAGTAGTTAGAGCAACATCAATAGTACCTTTTAATTATTTAATCCAATTAAGTTAAAGGAGTAGTTATAGCAACATCAACAGTACTATTTAAATATTTAATCCAATAAAGTTAAAGGAGTAGTCAGAGCAACATCAATAGTAACTTTTAAATATTTAATCCAATCCTAATATATAATAGCCAAAGTGCGCACTTCTCTCTCTCTCTCACTCTCTGTCTGTCCGCAAAATATTTTCGCCGGATATCACGTCAGAATCGGCAGCGATATATGGATATCTTTATACGGACTTTTGTTGAAAATAATATGTTAGATGTTTTAAATGTATAACCACAATTTTATTTAAAGAAGAAAAATAACAAATAAAGGCGTATTCGAATGTAGAGAAACAGTTTTAATTATGCAACAGGAAAAGCGTTTATAGTCGTGAAAAAGAATGCATAAAACAGTGACGTCACTAATGTTTATACATTAACTAATGACGTCATCTGCCGTGTTTAGAATAAAAGGAAATGAACTATTTCATTCAAATTTGATTTAGATCTACGTACGCTATAAAATTTATACAATACAATTTTTCTCGGGCTAAACTTAAAAAAAAATTCTATTAGGATTCTAGATCTAGATATTCTAGATCATCTAGATCTAGAGATTCTAGATCTAGATGATCTAGATCTACGGAAAAACTAGACTTACAAAAGATGTAGACCCTACCTAGATCTAGAATCTATTCAAATAATACATTTCTATACTAAAGTATTTCAGGCCTTAATTACTTTATTGAAATCTTTGTTTATCTATGCAATTTGCTAATCTCTATAATATATAAAGCAAAGTTGTCGGGTGCCCGATTGGGCACTTCCCGGCGCCGCAGGCGCTTCAAATTTGGCAGGATCTTGCCTTGGGGCGACAGAACACGGGGGCCAGTTGGCCGAAAAGTCTACGACTAGGGGGTCAAAACTGACCTCGACTGACCGAAGCCTTATATGAGCTATAAATCGAAAAAAAAATGTCTACGTAGGAACCTCTTCATAACTCCTGAGGTCGTAGACCGACCCTCGGGCGAATTAATTAAGCATTCAAATTCTCAATGTTTTCGAAAGCCTAAGCGAAGCTGGGCAGCATGCCTAGTTTAGTAGAAGCGTTTTCGTTGTCTAACGTCTCTGTATCTTCTAGCAACTAATTCGTTTTTTTTTTGGTTTCTTTAATCAATCCGTCGAATCGTTAATTAAAAGCATGTCGTAACAGCTAAAGTTACGAACAGCTACGGACAAAAATGGCATTAAATAAATGTACATTAATTTCTCGATTATGTTCTTACAGTACACACATAAGATTTGTGTACTAGTGCTAGCCTTATTACAAGCATTTTCTTTGACAATATACAGATGTATGTGTATCTCTCTATCTTTAATTTTTAAATCGTTTCCGATTTTCGACTATTGTTTTTATTTCCAAGTATTGAGTCAAATATTGGTTTCCCGTATAGTACATCGAGAAAAATGTTAATACTTTGTCCCAATGATACTTTTCTACCACACACAGGCTCATCTATCAACTATACAGCCATTGGACTTGGTGTGGGGAGTGGGTGCTTTCTGATCAGCGTCGTAATTGTCGTCTTGTGCAAAGTTTCAAAGGTCACGCCTGCCCCTTAGGTCACGTGATGGGTTGATGGAGTCACGGTGTGGCATACCTGGCAAAACTTCACCTGGAATATCGGCATCATAGACTAGCAACGGATGTGTCTTAAAGACAGATATTGACTTGCAACGAATGTATCTTAAAGACAGCTATAGACTTGCAACGGATGTGTTTTAAAGACAGCTATAGACTGGCAACGGATGTGTCTTAAAGACAGATATAAACTGCTACTGATATATCTTAAAGATGGCTGTTGAAACTACAGTTAGGTGTAGGGGTTGGGACAGAATCATATACACAAAGATGGGTATTGACACAAAGTTAGGTCTAGTACTAAAGAAGGATGAATTAGAGTTCTAAAAGTTTTTTTAACAAAGTTCTAAAATCTTCTAAGTATTCACAGTTTTGAGGTTATCATTATGTCTTATCATAGCAAATTTGATGAAAGTGATGATTTTGTGTACATATTTTTTTCAATGGTTATACACTCCTATGATATCCTATGAGATTAGTGTTTTTCTTTTTTGACAGTGATTATATTGAGTACAAGTAAGTTGATCATCTAAATGAAACAGGTGAGATTGTCATTTTAATGAGGGCAGAAAAGGTTGTAATAATAATGAGTGATGTTAAGGTGTCAAGTCTTGCGTGGTCTACATTCTCCTCATGAGAATCTCAGACTTTAGAACAAGCTGGTTTTAGAGTTGAGTGGACGGAATTAGTTTTGTTTCGCTCAAATTAAATTAATGCTAGCTCCGGGGTAAACACCTAGAATTTTTAATTAATGAAGATATTTTACATTAGCTTTCCTCTAATGGGGATGGGACCCTGACGGTTTTTCATAAGGTTATAATGTGTCCCTTATGTAACACAAACATATTTTATCCCTATGTATAACATGTAGAGATCAGTTTTATAACAGTTATAATTATAATCATTACATTTTCTACACGAAACTGTACTTTTAGATACGATCTAAAATACTTCAGATATGTTGGACTAATTTTAAAGTTCCCTTTCAAACCTGACAAGTTGAGCTCAATGTTTCTATGACCTTGACATATGAAGGAATGGTGTTGTCAGCACAAGGCCAAGCCACCTTTACTTTCCCTAACTTTGGGTAGACCTATGCATCATAACTTAGGAGGGTCTGTGATGTTCTATTCATAAAAAAAACGAAATTCAAACTCGAGACTTACAGGTCAGCAGTCATAGCTCTACTATTTACTATTCGACACCACGTTCCACGGACTAATTTACTACTATATACACATCTTAGCTGTGTACTCAAAGGTCTATATGTGTAATGTTCTCTACCTACTTCAGTAATTGACGACTGTATGTACATAGAAACTTCACCTAAATAAACTAAAGAAATTTTCCACCAGACTTAGGTGATAGTATTCACAACTGTGTTCGTGTGACTCGTGCTTTGGCTCCATCCCCCAATGGTCCTTTACACTGGTGTCTACATCCCATAATTTTAGAGTAGAATATAAAGGGGGAATTTTCCTAGCACGAGGAGCCCACTAGACACCCACACAGAGAGAGAGCCACGACGCCACGTTGCACTTTCTAGATTAAGCAGCAATTATCTTTAAGTTCCAGTGTATTCAGTATTTTTTCTGTGTCTTATTTTAATAACGTGTAGGTTGTGGTGATAACTTAGGTACCTTATCCAGTGTTAGTAGTTTCAGTGTGTTATTCCTGAAATTGTATTTGGGTTTTTCATTATTGTATATTTTTTTGCATAGTATTTTATAATTTAGACTTGTTTGCTTTTTAGAAAGTTTTAGATTGATTAAAAGTATTATTATTTTCAGAAGGTCTTTGTATTTGTATTTAACTCTAGACATTAGATTCGAGTCTACGAAGCGTTTTTGTTTCTAGTGATCTTTTACAGTTTACTATTATTCATCAGTCTAGAACTATCCCAAAAGAATTCGGGAGTTACGTCATATTTTTCCGTGATAGAGTTAGGTAATACGATACAAACTTCACCTAACGATACAAACTTCACCTAACGATACAAACTTCACCTAACGATACAAACTTCACCTAACGATACAAACTTCACCTAACGATACAAACTTCACCTAACGATACAAACTTCGCCTAACGGTACAAACTTAACCTAACGATTCAAACAACGATACAAACTTCACCTAACGATACAAACTTCACCTAACGATACAAACTTCACCTAACGATTCAAACAACGATACAAACTTCACCTAACGATTCAAACAACGATACAAACTTCACCTAACGATGCAAACTTCACCTAACGATACAAACTTCACCTAACGATGCAGACTTCACCTAGCGATACAAACTTCACCTAACGATTCAAACAACGATACAAACTTCACCTAAAGATACAAACTTCACCTAACGATACAAACTTCACCTAACGATTCAAACAACGATACAAACTTCACCTAACGATACAAACTTCACCTAACGATTCAAACAACGATACAAACTTCACCTAACGATACAAACTTCACCTAACGATACAAACTTCACCTAACGATACAAACTTCACCTAACGATACAAACTTCACCTAACGATACAAACTTCACCTGACGATACAAACTTCATCTAAAGATACAAACTTCGCCTAAAGATACAAACTTCGCCTAACGATACAAACTTCGCCTAAAGATACAAACTTCGCATAACGATACAAACTTCGCCTAGCGATTACAAACTTCACCTGACGAAGACGAATGGAATAAGACGTGTTAAACATAGTACCGTGTAACATTCCCAGGCTTGATCTATAGATTTGGAACCGTATTCAAGTTTTTGTCTGAAATGTGACCTTAACCCCCGCCAGCCAGATATTGGCAACCAGCCACCCCCCCTCCCCCCCCCCCCTCCCACCAAATATCACTAGCCGTGTTTTGAGACGAATCAGGAAGTAAAACTCGTGTCAACCCATATAAGCACAGTCCAGGTATTTTCCCGGCATACACCGGTGCTAGTGCTTCACTGGAGGTAAGTTGTCAACTTTTCATGCTCGTAGGTAGCCTACACTTAGATTTAACATTAAATATACTTTGACTTAACACTTCGCATTGGGTTTACATTTAACATTAAATATACTATTTTTTAATGAAACCTAGCTAGTAATACATTTTTAATATCATATTGATTGCTAAAATATATTTTATATTTACATTTTAAGTAATTTATTTGTGAAAATAGCTTGTTTTTTGTTTTGTTTTATTTATACAAAAGTAATACAATAGTATTGTATGCCGAAAAGAAAAAAATGTTATCTATTTTCCTACTGTTTGATAATATCCTTTACACCAGGGGTTCCCAACCTTTTTTATAGTCTAGAGCACATTCTAAAATATCGGTAGGGTGGCGGGCACCACCTATTTTAAATCGACAAACTCCTTCCAGAGGCGTAGCGACCCTTCCCGTCACCCGGGGACATAACTTTCGATTTGCACCCCCCCCCCCCTCAAACTTTCGATTTCCATCCCCTTCAACCTTTCAATAATGTTTATGAAAAAAAATTCTGTCTCTTTCGAATAGTGAGAGGCGGGCACATACGAATCGTTCGGCGGGCGCCATGGCGCCCGCGGGCACAGGGTTGGGAACCCCTGCTCTACACGAAAATGTTGGCGGGTAGGGAAGGTAGAAGAAGAAATTGGTGCAGGCCACATTTAGAAGCGACTCGTTTTCATTTTTTTGACATTATTTACGGTTCAAGGAAGCCAGCTTGCACGGATAAAGTCAAACTATAAAAACTTTACCCCCCCCCCCCCCAGACCCTGAATACCATCTCCCCCCCCCCCCCCAGACCCTGAATACCATCACCCCCGGCCCATGTATCTCGCCATCAGACACTGGGCTCTATACTAAATGCACGAATGGGTGGTTTTGATTAGGATTGATGTTAAAACTATTTGTAACCATACATTATACTAGAAACACGAATGGGTGGTTTTGATACGGGTTGATGTTAAAAAACTATTTGTAGCCCTACATTCACTGGGTATTCTATTGCGTACATCAGAAACACGACGATCCTTTATTCTGTTTTTTGAAATGTTTGGTATACCCGTGTTAAATGGATTACACAACTCTGTTATATTGATAGTGGAATGACGCGTTCAATTAAATATACAACAAATACAACTAGTTCGTCGGTTGTGTTGTGTGTACACAATCTCACTAAGCAACACGATCTATAGACTAGGTGAACTCTAGGTATTTACCTTGGACGTTAAAACATATGTTAGTGTTAAATATATCGACATACATTCTACATTCAGGTAACAGTTTAGTGTGTGACAGTTCCAGACATTGCCGGAGCCATACCTGACAGGTGAGGTTAAATGGCAGCACAGTGACAGGTGAAAGCCGTGAAGATCTCAGGCGTTTCAATGTTTGCTGGGCGTCTTTTCTGTTTGATGTTAGGCTAGGTACACTGAAAATAAAAGTGGTGTGTTGTGTATGCTGTGTAGGTGTTGTGTGTAGTTGTGTTATGTATGTGTGTTGTGAGTGTTGTGTAGGTTTTGTTTGTAGTTGTGTTATGTTGTGTTGTGAGTGATTGTTTAAATGTGAACATAGGTGTGTAATCTATGTCATGTGAAATTTACATAGATATGTGATTTGATTATGTGCTGCCAATATTTACTCTATCTTTAGCATGGGTATGTGGCTTACAATCACGTTGAGACTGTAATATATGTTGAGATGTGAGAGGAACGATACATTCAATCAGAATGTAAGATCTAAATGGGTCTGAGAAATCCCTGTAAATTAGCGTCTACATGGGGGATCTTATTTCTTCTAATCCCTATCTGTACGTGTTGATTGGTCTCAACTTAAAGTAATATGTGGGGGGACAGTGACGATTGGTTAATTTCTTTTCTACTAGGACTGGTTGATGATTGTGTACAAGCCTAAAAAAGATGGCTGCTATCTCAGTCCTGATTGGTTGACGATTGTGTACAAGCCTAAAGAAAGATGGCTGCTATCTCTGCTCTAATTGGTTGACGATTGTGTACAAGCCTAAAGAAAGATGGCTGCTATCTCTGCTCTAATTGGTTGATGATTGTGTACAAGCCTACAGAAAGATGGCTGCTATCTCTGCACTAATTGGTTGATGATTGTGTACAAGCCTAAAGAAAGACGGCTGCTATCTCTGCACTAATTGGTTGATGATTGTGTACAAGCCTACAGAAAGATGGCTGCTATCTCTGCACTAATTGGTTGATGATTGTGTAAAACCCTACAGAAAGATGGCTGATGTTTCCATTTAGATTGGATTAAAGATAAGGACATTTTCAACCAAATAGACTTAGCGTACTCGTGTTAAAGATTTTGTTGAAGTAGCTTCCTGATTCTTGCAATAAATCTGTTTGATATCTCATCCAGCTGACGTTCTAATGTTGTATGACTTGTCTATTCCACAGAGCAACTGATATCATATCTATAGCGTTACAAATATTTGAAATACGTAACGAAGATATTTTCTCTAACATGTATCCATGCGTTCGCGCCCCAGTCCCTGTTAGGCCATATTATTTATACGTATATACTTGCATATATATATATATATATATATATATATATATATATATATATATATATATATATATATATATATGTATGTTATGCTCACGTGTTTGTTATTTCCCTGACTCAGTTCCCATCGAAGTGAAGACGTTTACTGTGAACGGATCCAAGTCTATCAAAGCGAACTATGGCGACAGTGTTGTATTACATTGTGAGGTGACCGGAAGTGGCGGGACTTATGCTGTTCTAAGTGGGCCCGAGTTGAGCAACTTCAAGACCCACACACAGAACACGGCCGTCATTGATCAAACACTTGCCAATCTTACCTGTCAGGATGCTGGGAGATATTTCTGCTGGGGTCGAAATGGAGGAGGCGAAACGAGTCCAAAGGATTTTGTTGACGTCAATATTACATGTGAGCTGTTTAATTCCTTTTTAAAAAAACTTTTTATGTTAATTAATACGAATAAAAAAATTGTGTGTGAAATTAAAACACATCACTTGAAGTAATGCAATCAAAAGCAGAACATTATTTTATGTAAGTAAAAACACAATTTAAATTTGTTTTCCTAATGTCGGAGGTTGATGTTTGTCTCTAGGTCTTGTAGAACCGCCCCCAGTGTACCAAGGCAAACCTTACCAGCCCCCGAAACAGATCAAAATTGAGAGTGAGAAAAACACGACCTTTGATTTTGTTGTGTACGGCTATCCTGAACCAACGTCGTACGATTTGAGAATACAAACAAAAGATAACTCGTATAGCAATGTTACCAGCAGCCACTACAAGGTACAATACATCCATCAAGAGCCTCCGTTTGGTCTGGTCACGCTGACCATCTATGATGAAAACACCAAGGAGACCATCACGTACGTCCTGGGCATCAACAGTGTGAAGGGGAGGGTCGAGGTCACTGTGGAGGTCGTTAAGTTTACCAATAAACCTACTGGTTAGTACATAGCATGTCGTACATACGTTAGTACATATCATGTCGTACATACGTTAGTACATGGCATGTCGTACATACGTTAGTACATAGCATGTCGTACATACGTTAGTACATAGCATGTCGTACATACGTTAGTACATAGCATGTCGTACATACGTTAGTACATAGCATGTTGTACATACGTTAGTACATATCACGAGGTTCATACGTTAGTACATATCATGTCGTTTATACGTTATACGAAAATAATGACCAACGACTTTTATAAGTAATTTTTTTAAATTGATTTGAACCAAACAAAACGACACATTGAACTAGTAACCAAACAAAACTACATATTGAACAAGTAACCAAACAAAACTACACATTGAACTAGTAACCAAACAAAACTACACATTGAACTAGAAACCAAACAAAACGACACATTGAACTAGAAACCAAACAAAACGACACATTGAACTAGTAACCAAACAAAACGACACATTGAACTAGAAACAAAAAAAATGCCCATATTTTCTCCCCAGATGACACAAAGATCAAGATGGCTATCGGTATAGGTGTGGGAGTTGGCGGTTTTCTCATCGTCGTCGTGGTGATCGTTGTCGTCTGCACGGTCAAGTATCGAAGGTCAAGGACCCCCGCCGGGTCACGTGGTATGCCCATGGATCAACTGTACGACAAACCCAGTACCGTGTATAATGACAGACACTACGCTCTGGCTTATGAAAACAAAATTGCAAGTGATTATGACCTGCCACATAACTGAAGCACAAGAAGTCCACCACACGCGTAGGACATTTGTAAGGACTTGGTGTTGTGTTACAATGTAGGACATTGTAAGGACTTGGTTGGTGTCGTGTTCTTTAATTCTAGGACATGTATATTGATGACATGTATAGTGACTGATATTTACAAAGCGAGTATTAAAATGAACAAACTTGGTAAAATTGTAACCTGATTGTAGTTAATAGATTGCTATGTAAATATGTGCCTCATTTTAGTTAGCTAATGTAATATAAGAGTTTATAATTTATGTATTTGTACAATGACACTGTCATGTTTACTGTATGTGTGTTAATGTTTCCAATTCTTTTAGTTTCAAAGCCTATAACTTATTAAAATCAAAACTATACATATCACATTTTCATATGGCGCTGTTATGCTTAGCAAACTCATATGCACGCAATGGTGAAACTAGTTGTATATATTTCATTAGCCACAACTTCCTAATCTAAATAACTGCAATATGGTCTATATATTACACCTGCGTTTTTTTTATATCTAGATACAGAGTATTTGACAATGAATATTTTTATGTAGCACGAATAAACAAGCCGATACATTGTCAATGTTTGTCACTTTTGTTCTGCTTTCATCCATTTCTCAAGTAGTTTTTAAAATAACTAAGAAATACTTGATCAAAGTTTACAAAACAAAACATTGTTTCCAAGACAACTCATTTTTAATTTCGCAAGGGCGGCGCCACGTGAGGGTGCTTTTTTTTTCTCCATATACGGTATATAAGGCACTATTGTACAACTTATATGACGACGTGTAATAACGTCAATAACCTTCAAAGCCTTATAGACATCCCCAAAACACACGGCCATGTAGCTAGAAACTAATAAACTCTTTAAGGATTTCGGCAGACAATGACTAGTGGTTTTTTGTTGGTTTTTTTTCTTTGGGGGGGGGGGGGTACGAAGGGAATAAGGGGTAAGTTGGATCTACGATTATTACCCGTAGGTTTCTTGGTCAAACGGCACGACGAATGCACTACCGTTGTTTACAAGAATGGCCGATTGCTTGACGGACGATGACGGAATGGACCATTGTCCCAGTGGACTGTAGCCAGAAAGATTATTTGTCCCATCGGTCGATCGATCTATTACATACTGCTGTTGTGGGCGGTGGCTGGAGTGACAATTGTCATCACCTGACATCACTCATCAATCTCGTGACATCATATATATATATATATATATATATATATATATATATATATATATTGTGACCTACTTAGGTCGAGTCATTTTTATTTTGACATTGTATAATTCCTTATATGGAATGATTGTGTAACACCTGGGGTTTTTCCATTGACTATTAAGGTGTTTGAGACATAGAAAATTTCCATTAAAATCTGATTGAATGATTCTGATCAGATGATTATCCCAACCAATGGCGACATGAGTTGAGGATAACCTCCCCTGTCACAGAAGTCTTTAATTGCCCCGCACACTCGCAACACGTGGCAGTTTATCTTGACCTGGCAGTCTACGAGGCCGTTTTACCTTGGTCAGGTTGCCGTCCATATTGTCCGGCTATAGACTCTGACCATTTGAACGTGAGAGTACTTAAGACCTGTGTGTGCCTTGCTTTCTTCAGTTGATTTAGTCTTCTAGTTTAATATTACTTGTCGCTAAGTAATTCTAGAAACTACAGCATTGTTGTGTGGCCTGTAGCTGTTCTTTAGACAGTGTAGAAATCTGTGATAGTGATTTTTCCTACATTGTGTAAGTTGGTTTTTGATATTTTATACATTAAATATTTTATTTAGTTCAACCTTGTGTTCTGCCACTTCTGAGTTCGCTGATTAAAAGGTCGTATGTAGATTGGATGAGTGTTAATTACAATTGTATCACTAGCTTCCCTAGACATTAAATTCGAGCCCTAGTGGTCGTTGTGTTAAGTGTTCATCCACTTAGGCCGTAAGGCATTTGCATATGACCCCGAAAAAAAGAATCCGGGGACGTTCTCCTTCTATTTAGCTGATAGATAGGTTAACGTTACAAAGTGGGAGCTCGCCGAGATTTAATCTGTCGTTCCAGTTGTTGGTTATATCAGTTGAATACTAAGGTTAGTTGGATTTAGTTGTTTTTATATCCAGTAGCGCAGTGTCCTTACAACGCGCGCAAGCATAGAGTTATCTAGGTCAATAGCCAGACGTGTTGTCCTAGATTGAAGAGGTCAAGTACACGGCCCAACGCTGTGTGTTAAGTTAGTGAACCTAGGCTTGTTGTGATTTGAAAGTTAGTGTTATGGAGTCTTTTTTGGCTAATCCTACTTTTGAAGAGGTCGAAAAGTTGAGTAGAAAAGTTTTGGTTAGTGTAGTTAAGGAATTGAAATTGGATTATTCTGTTACGCAGAAGTCAGAGGTGTTGAGAGATAAAATTGTTGTTCATTTCATTAATGAAGGGGTATTTGATGAAAGTTTGTTGGCTGGTGTATTACTTCGTGAGGAGAAAGTTGCTTTAGAGAAGGCATTAAAAGAACAGGAGTTAGAGGTTAAAATTGCTTTAGATAGGAGGAGGTTGGAATCAGAATTTGGTCAAGTTAGTGATGTCACTTCTCTGGTAGATCCAAAAAAGTTGTCGGTAGGGCAAGTGATTGCCAAATTTGGGAAATTAGTTCCTAAATTTGATGAAACAGATTTGGTCGTTTTCTTTAACTCGTTTGAGAGTTTAGCGAAGACATGTGAATGGCCCGAAACTTCCATTACTGCTTTATTGAGTTCGGTCCTTACTGGGAAAGCTGCAAAAACATACCAGGCACTCTCTCACGACGTTCAAAATAACTATAGTTTGGTCAAGACTGCCATTTTAAAGGCCTACGCACTGACGCCCGAGGCCTATCGGACAAAATTCCGAACACTCCGCAAGTTACCCACACAATCATATGTGGAATTTCTCTTTGAAAAGGAGAAAATATTCTCAAGGTGGCTACACTCTGAGGAAGTTTCTGAGTTTGAGAAACTCAGATCACTTATCCTAAGGGAAGAATTCCTATCGTCCCTGCCTGAAGAGATACGACTACACATTCTGGATAACAAGATAATTGACATCCGGAAGGCTGCTGAGTCGGCTGACACATATATGTTGGTGCATAAGAAACCACCAGTGTCAGGAAACCGCCTCAACCCCGTGCTTCCCCTTTTTGGCAGCAATCCTCCTGTTGGCCAACACGTGAAGGCATCACAGTCCAGAGAGAAACCAAGATCAACTCTCAATCGTCGAGCAGTATGCCAGTTCTGCAAAAGACCTGGTCATCATGTCAAGGACTGTTACAAACGTCGTCAATATAACAGAGAGGTGGTGCGTACTTTCGCGCACTATGCTCTATCCCCTCAAGCAGCCAGTTCAACTATGAACTCTAGAATTCTAAAGGACTCTAACCCTAAGTGTCCGCAAGAAGGTAGTCAAGTCTCCACACATTATGTGCAGTCACATTTTGACTGTTCTCGCCACCATCCAGTTTCTTCCGAGTCTACCGATCTCGAGGGATCGAGAAAAGTTGACTTTTCATCTTTTATTGCTGAAGCCATCATTAGCAAACCAGGTGATCCGTTGTCTCAGAAGAATATCACCGTCCTAAGAGACACAGGAGCGTCACAATCACTCCTTTTGAGAAGTTCAATGGACATTACACCAGAGACGAACACCGGAAGGATTTCCATTATCCAGGGAGTGGGGACAAAATCTACTGTCGTCCCTTTACACAAGTTTGCCCTGAAACATCATCTCGTCGAAGGTGAGGTCATTTTAGGTGTGATAGATAGTATTCCAGTCCCAGGAGTACACCTACTTCTAGGGAATGACCTTGCGGGAAGCAAAGTATACCCCTGTACGGTTTCAGACCCTTTGTCAACAGTTCCAGATAATGATTATGAACTGTATCCTGCATGTGCGGTGACAAGAAGCCAGACCAAACAATTGGCTGACACAACGTCTGAACCACACCCGCCGTCATCGTCAAGAAATTCGACTCCCAAACTGGAGTCTATGCTTCCAGAAAACACAAGCCTGGGCTTACCCCTGAGAATATCTCAGGAAGACATCATTAAAGCTCAACAAGTCGACGCGGAACTCAAAGCAACGGTCGAAAAATCTCTATCATCTGACGATGGGGAATATTTCTCCGAGAACGGCCTCTTCTTTCGTCGCGCTATACCAGTGAATGCCTCACCAGCCGAACCATGGTTGGGTAAAAACCAGCTGTGGATCCCTCCACCTTATAGGCATGAAATACTTAAGCTGGCACATGACCATCCAATGTCAGCGCACCCAGGAGTCACTAAAACGACGGCGAAGATCAAAGAACTGTTCTTTTGGCCCAAAATGAGAAAAGATGCGTCGCGTTACTGCAGAAGTTGCACGAACTGTCAGTTGGCCGGAAAGCCCAACCAGACAATTCCTAAGGCCCCTTTGAGTCCGATTCCTGTATTAGAAGAACCTTTTTCTAAAATCGTCATGGACTGTGTAGGTCCCTTGCCTAAAACCAAGGCGGGCAACGAGTACCTACTTACCTTTATGTGTTCAAGTACCCGTTTTCCCGAGGCGATTCCCTTACGGAACATTAAGGCAAAGACTGTAGTCAGAGCCATGACCCGGTTCTTCACTACCTTTGGATTACCTAGAATCGTGCAAACAGATCAAGGCAGCAACTTCACCAGTCACCATTTTCAGGAAGCACTAGCCAAGCTAGGCGTTACCCACATCACCAGCTCAGCCTACCACCCTCAGTCTCAAGGCGTACTTGAGCGGTTCCACCAAACCCTCAAAACCATGCTAAGGACATTCGCTAATAGTAACACCCAATGGGATGAGTCTGTTCCTTGGATTATTTTCGCCGCGAGGGACTGTGTCCAGGACTCTTTAGGCTACTCGCCTTTTCAACTTGTGTTTGGACATTCTGTCCGTGGCCCCCTGAAGCTGATACACGAATGTTGGACAGGTACCAGCGATCATCCAGTGGAAAACTTCGACGATTTTCACGTTCGACTGAAAGCCGTGTGCGAAATGGCTCACAAGAACTTAAGAAAGGCCCAAGTGAGAATGAAAGAACTGTATGATAAGAGTTCTTGTAAACGAACATTCAATCCAGGCGACAAAGTTCTTGTGCTAGTGCCTAATCTGAACAATGCGTTATCCTTGAGATATTGTGGACCTTTTACTGTGCATTCAAAATTAAGTGATTTGAACTATGTTGTCAATACGCCCGACAGAAGAAAGAAACAGACAGTGTATCATGTCAACTCACTGAAAAAATATTATGATAATTGTAACAATTTTCAATCCACAGCTAAAATTACTTTACCTGTATGTTCAAGTGTTTCTGATGATGTGATACATGATAAATTGAAACCCCCAAAATTGGTAAATTCTTCCTTTTTAGATAATTTGAATGTCCACCTTATGCATTTGTCCACAGAGGAAAGCCATAGATTGTCTCAGTTATTTGAGACATTTCCCTCTATTTTTGGGGATGTCCCCAAAGAAGCGAAGGTTCCACCTCATGATGTAGACGTTGGTGACGCAAAACCCATTAAACAACACCCCTATAGAGTTAACCC